CAGTTGAAAATTATATTAAGAAAAAAGAGCATCAGAAGATGAAGCCTATTACTAGTGACTCTGAAACTTTGTTAAGGCAAGAAAATGAGGAGTTGTGTATATCAAAGCAGGTATTGGAAAGAAAAATTGAAGAGCTTCTTGATTTACAAAAGCAGTATAAGTCTTGTGAGGTAGCTATAACCAGGTCTTTAGAAGAGAGTGGTGAAAAAGTCACCCAACTATTAAATTCAGTATCCTTTTTAAAAAGTATAATTCCTTATACAAAAAAAGCTATTGCATCAGCTGAAATGTCTATTGACATGCTAGAGGACAAATGCCTATATCTGGAGGATATTATTTTCACTAAAAATAGAAAAATTATCGCTTTGGTTGATCGGATCTCTTCCTACACAAAATATAGTGAAATAATTATAGAACTGAAAATATATTCCAGCACTTATGAAAGGAAATTATGGACGAAGAGGCGTAGTGAATATGAATATGATCTAGAAGTCCAGAAAAAATATATATTTCGTTTCACTTCAAAGCTGAAAGAATTTCTACTCACTAGCTTAGACACCTTTTTCAAGAATTTGGTCCTAACCGATCCATATCCTGTATGGATGCTCACGAGATACAGTTAAATCGAAAACAATGAATTTTTTCTCATATAATGCTTATCAATAATCTTAATCACATTATGCTAATTATACATGAAGTCAAAATGGATCATTTTGGATATCCAAAATGGTCAAAATGGTCAAAATGATTTTGACCATTATAGGTTAAAGTCGCGAAATAGTCAAAATGACATCATATCACATGATTTTTTATATTTAGAAAAAACAAAAAACAAAAGATATACGATCTCAGTCAATATTGCACCGATTCGTATGAAACAACTACCATTCGATTTCTCGTTTGATTCCTTATCCCTCTTCCTCGTTAAATTTTTTCCAAGAATTTTTACTTAAATAAGTACCTGTTTAATGGTGGCCGCAGCTTAAACTGTAAACAAACAAAAAAACCCACCTTTCAAAAATATTCCTCTCTTTGTTTCCCACACCCCTATCTACATAAAATTTTTTGAAATAGTCTAAACAGTGTTGTTTTTTGTTAAAATATTTTTTCTTCACCTTTTTTCGAAAAAATTTTTTCTGTTTTTCTGTTTTTCTTTTTTGCTTACTCAAAAGTGGGTATCAAGGGGTATCCCAACCGATGATCATGATCAATATACTTTGGATAAACAAATCTCACGTGATGACACCTTTCCCCTTCCTAAACAATATACTCTCTTTTGATTGGCCTTTGCCTTTCTGCAGATCCTCTGTCATTGAAGATCACGTGCAAATTTAGCGTAAATTATTATTTTGTTTCTTCATGAGGTCTTCTATATAGTGTGATGGTAGCTACCACTTGGTTTGTTTTTTGTCAGCCTACCGTAGTTTTAAATGGAACTCCAGATGGTCATTGCTATTTGCTTACTCAGTGTAAGTTCGCTTCGTCTAAATCCGTTCCTTCCTGATAACTAGGTAGAGAGTATAAGTTACTATCTGTTGATTATTTATAGGGTTCTCATTAAAAATGATACAGCAATTGATTTCAAATTTACAAAATGTTGCAACATAAGATAAAATTAGTTGCAACATATATAAGTTAAAACTAATTGCAACGTAAGTTGCAACATTAAAAGTTGCAACATATTAATTACAATTCCCATCTTTAATTCTCATAGTGGATTCCAAATGATATTTTTTCTGTACTTGTGAATCTACAAGTATGAAGAGCCTCTATTTGGACCTCTCTTTTGGACGCACCCTCTTTGACTAGGTGGTCATTATATCTGGAATTAACTAGATATTTAGGTTCTTATAGAGTTCAGTTATGTTTTTCTTTTTATTTCCCTTCTTAGGAGGGTTGTTAGTTTTAAATTTTATTTTGAAGTTGGGATTGAAGAGCTTTTAAAAATTATGTTGCTGTATTGACAACCTCATTTGAATTTCTTTTTGACGGCTTAATCATTAAATATGGATTTCTTAGTTGGGTTGGAGAGGGATTCCAGTGATCAGTCAGTCTAAACGGGTTTGAGCTTTTATTAGCAACTGAATTATAAGAGATAGTTATAGTTTAGTTTTTTTATCTACTTTGTAATTCTTCTTTGTAATTTTTATTTAGTATACAATATAAAATTTTAATAAACTTATGGCAGTACTATATCGTTAAAAGACAAAAAAAAACCATTCGATTCCTCAAAACTAGATGGATCTAATGAGCTAACATACATTTATTTTGGATCATCTAATCACGAGATACTCACAATTGTATTATCAGCTGAAATTATAAATCAATAAATTCCTTTAAATAAAGAAGTCTGGATTTCGAAATACGATCGCAAATATCTTGAGATGGAATACTCTAAGCTCATTGGATTCGTCTAGTCACGAGGAATCGAATAGTAGTTGTTTCATATGAATTGGAGTGATATTGGTTAAGATCATACATCTTTTGTTTTTTTTGTTTTTTCTATATATAAAAAATCATGTGATATGACATAATTTTGACCATTTCGACTTTTCATTTCGACTTTGACCTTCAAAGTCAAAACATTTTGACTTTTTGGGTTTTCATTTCGACTTCATGTATATGCACAACCCATTAAATAGGCAGACATGTGTGAGATTTTTTCGTATTATTTTTGGACTATCAAAGTAACTCTGGGATATATATATCAAACTGATGTTGTAATGGCGTCCCTCAACAAAATAAGGGACGATTTTCTCCTACATTTTTTTCAGATCAGCACATACATCTTCAAATATAAGCACTGTATCTATACATGAAGTCGAAATGGATCATTTTGGATATCTGAAATGGTCGAAATGGTTGAAATTATTTCGACCATTGGAGGCTAAAGTCGCGAAATAGTCGAAATGATATCATATCATATGATTTTTCATATTTAGAAAAAACAAAAAACAAAAGATGTACGATCTCAGTCAATATCGCTCCGATTCGTATGAAACAACTACCATTCGATTCCTCAAAACTAGGTGATCCAATGAGCTAACATTTATTGATTTTGGATCATCAATCACGAGATACTCGCAATAGTATTATCAACCAAATTATAAATCAATAAATTTACTTTAAATAAAGGAGTCTGAATTTTGAAATACAATCGCAAATATTTCGAGATGGGATGATCCAAAATCAATGAATATTAGCTTATTGGATTCGTCTAGTCACGAGGAATCGAATGGTAGTTGTTTAATACGAATCGGAGCGATAATGACCGAGATCATACATCTTTTGTTTTTTTTTATATATAAAAATTATGTGATATAACGTAATTTCGACCATTTCGACTTTTCATTTTGACTTTGACCTTCAAAGTCAAAACATTTCGACTTTTTGGGTTTTCATTTCGACTTCATGTATAGCTATAATAATGCATAGATGTCTTTTTAAAGGTTGTCCAGACATCTGCTAGACTAAACATATCTATCTTGAGATAGAGATCATTATATTTTTCTAAGTTCTTACACTCAAATTCCTTCCATATATTTTGGGTATAGTTATAATCCTCTTGTGAAACTTTACCTCTAAGAATACTATGAAACTTATGAATCAGGTAATTCTGTTTTCTTAAATTGTTCATGAAAGTCTATATACTCATAAGGAAAGATTTCTTTATGATGATATACTAAGAAAATCTGTTTAGAAGAATAACCTTGCTTCTTGAAATACTCAGTCGTAATTGGGTGATCGTTATCCAAATTCTTTGTAAGAGAAGCCAAGCTAGAATTCATAAATTGCATACTATCAATATACTTAAGCTGACTTACCTTCATAGATTTGTATCGATCAAATATTTCAGCAATAATAATAATTCGAAAAGAATTACCTAAATATCCAACAGATTTACAGACCAAGTGAAAGTCATATCCCTAGAAGTTATAGAAAATAATTGGAATTAGTATTTTCAATAGCTCAATTTGAAGTTTAAGATTGCAAGTATTATAAGATGCCTCTCAAAACTTACCTGTGATATGATAGTGATCCTAGACCTTTTTATTTCTAGCTTCTTCCTTAGTAAGTTTAGCTTATATTTTAGAGATTACTAATTTTAAGGATTTATTGTCTTTAGGATTCTTAACAGCCTTTAGCAATTCTGTATAAAGATTTTTGAAATCCTTTTTTGATTCAATATTCTTTTCATTTTAAAGATTTTTCTTAATATATCTTTAGGCAAAGCTATTTTATTATATGATTTAGAATCTTAAACAATTTCTGTAAGCTTATTGGTAAGATTTACAATCTTTCTTTCTAATCTATTAATTATATCTGTATCTATACAAAACTTGTCTTCACAGATCCAACATCTATCTGCCTCTTTAAACCTTCTTTGGTAGTCATCTATAATATTAGCTAAGACCTTATTTATTTCTACCAATTCTTGATTAATCCTTCAGACAAATTCTTCTTCACAATATAAGAAGGAATCCCATATTTCTCTAGTATTAATCCAGTAGACTGAGTAGCTAATAGCTTCTTTCTCTGCTATCTTTCACATATTTCATCATAATATGTATTACATTTCTTCTTTAATGACTCGAAATAGGACCTCTGAATGTATATATAATACGTTTGTCATACACTTAAGCCAGATTTTTTTAAAGGTTTATCGTATTGTCACACAAATTGCCTTTTTTGATGGTAGTGTGGCTTGACTTTTGAAGTACATTTAATTAATATTATTAAAAAAATTTTGGTATACAGCTATTAATCTCATAAAATTGATTTGTAATACATAGTATAAGAATAGAATGTGTATGATGTATGATATATATAAAATATAAATAGTAAATGTACAGTTAAATATAATTTTTTTTCGATTTGTAGTACATTATATATAAGGATAGAATACATACTAAATGCATGTGATATACGCCTTTATATAAAACATATATAGTTATATTTTTATGACTTTTATCTAATGTTCTTTGTTTTAGTATTTTAAAATGGAAGAAGAATCGACAACAGTGAAATGTAAAACTTATGTGCAAACAAAGTTAAGTTTTCCTACAGAAGTATATAATGGTCCCTCTGCAGAGAAAAAAATACAAAAAGACTATTCTACACTTTATGCAAAGGCAAAACAGGAAATAAAACCAAAGATTCAAGATAAAACTCAAAGTAACCGAAAAATACCATCACTTGATGAATGTTTAAAAGATTCAAAATTAGAAAAAATCAGTGATCTTCAAGTTTATTGTCATTATTGTGATACTGGAACACCAATTACTTTACATTGAAATAATGACAGCTATCAGCTAAAGCAGCATCTTGAAACAAATATGCATAAAAATAATGTAATATATGAAAAATCAGATCCTTCCAAAAGGCTTCGTACTACTTTCTTAAATTTTGAAAGTAAACAAAAAGAAATTTTGGATACAGATACAGGAATGCATTCGGAATCATCAAAAAAAGGTAATTATTAAATATAATATTTAAAAAAATAAAAAAAAATCTTATTTAAATTCTTTATTTTTAATATACTATGGTTATTATTCTAAGTCATTTGCAGCACTTGCACAATATGGAACATCAATGAACAACTACAAAATTTTACGTGATGATAATCTATTTGATAAAAAGATTAAGGCACATGGATACATTAAAAGTAACAAATGCGAAGGGTATACAACATCTAAATATTGTTTTGAATGTAGTAATCTAACGCAATTAGATGTCGTATAAAAAAGAAATCGACGTTATCAAGAGCTTATTATGCAGATTGATTGTTTACTTCTCTTGAAAGAAGGTCAGCCCATACCTGCAAGTATTATTTCTCAGTTTGGAAATAGCTGGATTCAATTCGATGTCAAAAAGTTATATGATACGGTAATTTCTTCATTAAAAAATCGACCTGGTAATACAAGATCAACAGAATTACAACAATTATTTAAGTATGTTGAAAA